CATGTTTTGTAAAACTTGCAACTGTATTTGTAATCCACTTTGTCATAAGGCTGATTCAGCACACCTAAGGACTTGGTTTGTAAGCACATTCTTACCAATCCATGTGATGACTCATGCTTTTCATTTTTCATTCTTTGTAATACTACACTTCATTTTGTATGTACATTAGTAAACAAGCTGACTCAACACAAGTTTGTAAGCACATTCTTACCAATCTATGTGATGAATCATGCTTAGTAAGATGGCCTCCCAAAAGGTATATAAGGAGCCCATTTTCACCCATGCAATTCAAGCTTCCCACTTTAAACTCTTTTCTCAAACCGTGTGAGAACCAGTAAGATCTAAGTGCAGGCCATTCAGCAGCCTTGAAGTTAAGAATAAGAAACATATATTCAGGTTATATACTACCTTACAGGGGTTGACTATATAACAAAGTACAGCTACCTAGCTAAAGTTCATCAGCACTACTTTCCTCTCTCTTTTTCAGGAAGGGAGACATGAATCATGAGACACACTTCACAAATCCACGGGCACACACTTGCCAAAACACTGTACAAACTTCACACTCAGTATTTCAAGACCACGAGGTTTTAAACTAACCAAGGAACAAGAAGGAGAATATTGAAAGACATTCCTCCCAAGAACTCAGCACGTTATCTACCACGAAAACTAGAAAAGTCGTAGACCATGTACTTAAGGACTGGCAAGAAGTCTTATCCTGTATAGTTGTGTTGTCACTATATACGTGTCGTATATAAGACCCTTAAGTAACAAGACACCGGGTGCATCTCAATTCCTCCGGCAAGTCGTGTTACAGGAGTTCTATTGGATCCCAAGATTATCAGGACTTGAGTCACACCCAATGGGAGATGGTCCTAGAAATCAGTCTGTCATTCGGTGAAGAGTATATTAATAACATGGCGAACAAACCTGAAGTCTTCCATGCCATATCGGCACTCATGTGGTCTCCATATTCATGCTGATTGTTGACATTAGCAATGTGAGGGTGAAAGGTCATGTTGTTCGCGAAAGTTGGGTCACTAAATAGTTGCTTGACAACCTCCAGCGCATCGTGCCAAATGAGCTCCACAGGATGGACAGTCTTATAGCCTTTAAATTCTAATTTGGAGACTTTCCACAGGGTAAAAGAAGGCAGTGAGTCCATCCAGTCCAGGAGGTTATCTTTTGTGGTGAAAGATGGTTTTGTGCGATCCGGAGTGTCAAACTGTGAAGGTAAGATCAGAGTTAGGAGGACAGCTTAGATCAATATTTGTCATTTACCCATCTTAACTTCAAGAACTTCGTTATTTGGGTTTGAGTAAGGTTTTTCGCCAAAAACCTCCCTAATTCCCACTCGCCTTCATCAGGGAAAGGGTAGTAAGGATTTATCTTCCATCAATATGCATATTGATCATCTTCTAACTTATCCAGCACATTTCTACCGACACCATAGATGTATCCAGATTGCGGGTGACAGGTACCAGTGACAGGTATCCGACCACCTTGATTGAATACAGAAGGGACAGGTAATGTTTGTGGTCATACTTCGAATGGCCAACAAGTAGACGGAGAATTGAGATGTGAGATAAGCACCTCAATGGATGGATATTCCCCCAATTTGCAGTTGGGACATAGCCTGCCAAAGGTATGTACAGTATCATGAAGTGAGCAACGTATGTACTCACATTGTAGCGTAGACTTTGCTTAGACTTAAGCCAGTGAGTGCACAGGAAGCTGCAAAAACCAACAAGTCTTTCAAAGTCTGAAGACCTTACATTTCACAGCGCACAGTCATTGCGCCAGGCCAATGGAACTTGCGTCTTCATCACCAGTCTCATCTCCTGCTCGACCAAGCAGTCCTACTTTCACCAGCACTACGTCAAGCAGTGCAACCCATGTAGAATTCACTCCCATGGAGGTTTTTAAGAATAAGAAGGCCGACCACCCTGTCTCTCCCCATATGGCCACTGAGCTCTTATCTGGCTCCAACTGTTCACTTTCCCCCAAACTGTCCCCCTGCCCTTCAGGTTCTCCAAAGGTTCACTTCTCCCCAGTAGAAGAGATCCCATACCTTCCTGGATGTAAAGGAGAGCCTGTTGTATCAGCCTGGTGGTTCACAGTCACCAAAGTCACCTTCTCGGGCAGCTTACTTGCATGAGAAGTCATTCAAGAGACATGTCCCATACCATCACAGGCCATCTGCACTGGAGCTTTGGTTTGCAAACCACGTGACAGGGCGAGTACACCAGCCAGACTTTACGCCTGAACAACTGCAAGAGGTATTTGTCTTTTTATTTCTTTGTTCAAGAGGTTCTCAAGTTCTCACATGGTATATGTTCAAAAGCACGAGGACACGATAACCAGTGGTCTATCACGGATGAGCTTTGACACTTTGTACAAAGTGTTCAAGGCACTACTTGCTAGTTGCAAGGCTGTTTGCCATGAAGTAGCAACATCGTTATGGGAGGTTGAAGCCTCAGAGTGCATGACAGCATTCAATCAGGTGCTTCACCAGGAGAACCAAATCCGACTCAATTTGAAGGACAAACAGCTGAAGAAGATCAGGAACTACTTTTCTGAGCGTGAGCCCACAGAAATCGATGACAACATGGATTACAATCAAGCCATCTACAACAATGAATGCAAAATGCTTTGTGCCATCACCGCCCAAGCAGAGATAATCTCAAGACACCTGGGCTCACGTGCCAGGCATGAATTATTAGCATCTACCGGCAAAGCTCCCTACCTCCCTCGTTTTGTGGATGCTTTGCATAATAGGGACAGCATCACACGTGCGCTGCGTAGTGGTTTTGCAGATGCCAGTACCGACACCGATACTGACATCAATAGCAATTTCAGCGAAGATGATGATTGCAACAGGTGGCCAGGCCAGCAGCGCTCATGCGGCATGCAGTTGTGACATATCAATGGTATGTGACTGTCAAGTGATTCATGGTACTCACACTGATCTATATCAGTGACATTCAATTCAGTCATGTCACTGTTCGTAGATTATTATCAACTGGTACTGCCCTGCTTCGACCATTCAATAAGTTGCTTCACCTGCTCCGGCCGTTCATAGATCTTTTTCTGCTGTTCATAAATCGCCTTATTGGACCATGCCCCCCCCCCTCTTTTTACGCTTCATTAGTAAATCACCTTGCTTTGTTTGTAAATCACCTTATCAGCCTGCCACACATTCCCGGTTTGTAAAGATCATGTAAAGTTTGTGTTTCTTTTCCCCCTATGTACTATTACATCGATTGGCAACTTAAATGCATGCATGCGTTCTCACATCCTCCCCCACTTTGAATTCCTAGAGAATGTGGCCCTCAGTGAAAAACTAAGGCCAAGGTTCTGAAACCACCGCGAGGTTCTGGCCTCAATCCATTGGGCGAACCGGCGACTGACCAGCTTCATATCCCTACTGAACAACCACAGATGAGCTCTTTCACCTTCGACAAGCATGCGCCCAGTGCAGGTTGGCAAGGTGATACCAATAGCGCACTTCCCACTCAGATGAGCACCTGTAAGTGTCTCGTACTTTCATTCACTGATCGCTTACCATTCCACAGCGCTGCATAGCTGGAGCATGCAGGATACCAACTTCAATGGCTGTTTCTCTCACGGCACTTCATCTTTAGAGGATGACACCCGGCTTCGACAATCACTGTGACACGAGCACATCGGAGGTGACACTCATACAACCAGGCAAAATCCACACACGAATGTGATGCACGTACATTTTGTTTGTTCATTGATCAAATTCACACTGATCCGCTCATTTAGACGGCGGGCCCGGCAAGGGAGACAAAGAGGCGAGGCAGTCGACAAGCAATGCCACCTATGCCACACATGATTCCCTACCCAACAACACACCCACAGGGCGCTTCTGAATCCACTCTATCTGCAGCTGAAGCCTCGACCTCACAGACTGTGATGTCTGAGTCATCGATAGCTAAACCCTCGCCTATCAAGCTAATGGAGGGAAAAAAACACCTCTTGGTCCCACACCAATTGGCACCCCGACCAGGACCCCGAAAAACTCCTAGTCAACACAGCGCCCAACAGCACTAACGATGCCCAACAGCGTCAAAGCCAGAGCCAACAACAACCTAGAACTTTTAAGTACCCCTACAAAACTATCCATTATCACTAAAAATTAGAAGATGACCCCCGGAAAACCACAAAGCATGAGCTTCGGCGCAAAAACACCAGCCTCTAGGAACCCTTCTCCTACAATGCCAGGAGGACCATCCTCAAAAAGAATAACAAGATCTACAAATGTAACATTGACCCCATCAGAAATCGAAGCACTACCCAGCACTGTCAAAGATGCTGCCAGCACACACCTATACCTCAAAAAAAAGAGCCTCTGCCAAGCGACTGAACCTTATACTATAACTCACCTAATTTCGGTCCTTTTACAGATTACGCAGATTTCTGGAGCCACACCCCTACCAGTACTAACTGCCATTAGATCAGTAGTCTACCTACTCAAGCAACACATCGCAGATGAAATCACAGATGTAGTAGCCCAACAAGTTACAGAGACAGTATCACAGCAAATCACAGAATCTGTCTCTGCCAAACTAGGAGAACAAGTGGTAGCGGCAATTGCTCCCCAAATAGCTTGGATACTGACAGCCTCAGAGAAGTTAGAAAATATGATAATCAAAACAGAACAACTCCCCACCTCAGCCCAATCGAACCCAAATGAAAGTACCCTATCCCAACTGACCCCACAGATCCTGGACCACATCGCCACCACACTTACCCCACAAATCGAAAAGATAATCTCAACCTCAACATCACTAGCCAAATCACTGGATGAAACAATGACTCTCCGACAACTAGTTAATGACAAAATCGACCTCAATAGAGACATCAACTGCAGCAGCACAGAGAATCACCGGCGCCACTGACATCCTCTTTAGCACCCTAGAAGACTGTCAGAACTCCATGGACCTCATATTGCCCACGCTGGAAGCCACCCAGGACAGCATAGATGCCCTATCAAAGCAGATCTCCTCCATACCAAGACCCTCAACAGCCATGCCCCCAAGAACGGAAACCTTCAGCGACATTGTCACAGCAAATGAACCAGGACCTCAATCATACCCACCCAGACCCTGCAGCAGCCCCGTGAACCTCACAGGCTTCACCCCTGCCTCCAATCACAACACAACCTACGCCAAGGCCAACACAAAGTCAATACACAACGCCAAACCCCACTTATAGACAAGGCCATCACAAGAGCCGCTGTTAGGGCGAGACAGATACTACTGGACCCGATACCCAGAAACCCAATCTTCCCCCCGGACATTGAAAACGAGGACGTATTCACAAGAATCCGAGTAGCCTTCAAAACAGCATTTGCCCCTTCCTGCAATGAAGGAATCAAACACCTCCTCCAACTTCGCAATGGCGGACTTATAATAGAACTCGACAGCGAAGCAACCGTGAACCGACTGAAAGTTGAAGCCACCCAACAAAGATTTCTTCAAGCCCTGGACTCCTCGGTAATATTCAAGGACAGGACCTACACACTGGTGGTACAGTACATCCCTGTTAACCTACTGATCGAACGCACAGGCCTCCTTCGACTAGTAGAACAAAAGAATCACCTAGAGACCAACTCCCTCATCTCCATGCACTGGATCAAGCCCCCACATAAACGACCACCTGGACAAATGATGGCATTCGCCATATTACAGGTAAACGATGCTGAAACGGCTAATAAGATAATCAAAAACAGCCTTTACATCAACCAGAACCTAGTACAAGCAAAAAAGGACAGGAAGGAACCCATCCGCTGTGCCAAATGTCAACACTTCGGCCACATCGCACAAAACTGTAAGGCCAGCAGAGACACATGTGGCACCTGCACAGCCAACCACCGCACCAATGAATGCAACGCATACAGAACATACCGATGTGTCAACTGCCGAAACGACGACCACGCCAGCTGGAGTAGAGCATGCCCAGAATTCGACAGACGATGCAACAAACTCTACACCAAGCACCCCGAGAACGCACTACCCTATTTCCCCACCTGTGAAGCCTGGACACATGTAACTCTCCCTTCCAAGGCAGCACCCTATAAAAGGCCAACCAACACTCCATCATCACACACAGATGAAGTCCCTCCACGCCTCCACCAGACAATTCTCATCTCAACACTCACCAAGATCATCCCTAAACCAAAAGCCCAGATGCCCCCCACCGCCCCACAGGTCAATACATCCCCTACCTGCCACCCTAATCCAACCACCCAAGCCTACATCAACAAATTTGACCTTCTTGCGACAGACAACCTCATCGAACCCAACACTGAACACGAACCATATGCCACCAACAAGACCAACGACTCGACACCACCCCCCTTCACCATCATCAACATCAACACCAACCTGATCTCCAATCAACTACCTCGAGGACCCCAACCCCAACACCAACATCAACACCCCTCCAGTTCCCTTCCTCGCCCACACCAAGTTTGCCTGCCCCAACAGACCACAACCTGACCCCATCATCACCCTCATCTCCACCTGTAGACCATGTCTGAGCAACCAGAACAAATACCCGCTAGGCTCCAAATCTGGCAGCAAAACCTCAACAACTCCTGAGCAGCACAGGAATCTATCCTCAACGGACTGACCGCCAAGAACTGGGACATTCTAGCACTCCAAGAAGCCTGCAAAGACCACCTCCGTAACACCAAATCTAACAGGCAATGGCATACCCTATACCCTACTACAGCACCACATGCACCCGGAACAAAAAACTCGAGCGATCACACTCATAAGCACATCTCTGAACACCAATGACTAAAAACAACTCTCATTCCTCTCCTCTGACATAGTAGTCATCCAACTATCAGGACCTTTTGGAAAATGTACCATCTTAAACATATACAACTGATGGAAAAAGACAAGACACCATCAACGCCATTGACACCTACCTATCTGAGAACATAGCTAACATACGCCCCTCCGCCAACGACCACATGATATGGTGCAGTGATTTTCAACCACCATCACCCTCTATGGGAAGAAGAACGCAACACTCACCTAATAGACTACAATGCCGCACAACCTCTCATAGATCTCATCACGGACTACGGCATGAACCAAGCACTACTGAAAGGCGAGCCCACCCTTCAAGCCTTGAACTCCTGGCAACTGGACAAGACCCGACAATGTCTTCTGCACTGACCACTCTATAGACTACTTTGTAGCCTGCAGAACAAACCCAGGCTCTAAGAGGCCCGAAGACCAATCACATACCAATCCTGAGCATCCTAGAACTCACCATCCCCCGAACCACCCAAGATCCCATGCTGCAACTATCAAGAAACTGACTGGAACAAATTTAAGGAAACCCTCATCACTCGCCTATACACCAGACCCTGCCCCAGCACCTCTCCTAACCGATGCCGATTTCCAAACCGCTGACACGCACGAAACCTGTTTCGTACATGGTCATGGTAAATTTATGACACATGCTAGTCCTTACTATAGCCTATACACTTCCCCTGAATTTTCTATACCTTACTTCAATTTACTTTAGACATTTCTGAGCATGTATCATCAAGATACGACTTAGCGGTTCAAACTAAATACTTAATGTACCCTTTATCCTTTCTATAATTCTTTATTTTATTTACCCCTATGCCAAACATATGTACACACACATTCTATGCACACTTTATTTACATCTATGTACTCAAGGACTTGGTGCCAACCAAACCAAGTTGAACTAGTTGGAATGGATTGGTAATCAATGCACAGCAATAAAGCAGTGCTAGAAGGACCTGGAACACAGCCTTTGCTGAGTAATCTAGAACATTCTATGAGTATCTTACTAATCATTCCATAACATTCCATGACATTCTATGACATTCTATAAGATTCTATTGTTCTTTCTCAAACATTCTGGAATATTCTATAGTATATTAGTAATAAGTAGCACAGCCACTAGTCTAGTAGTATATAAGGGGCTCATTTTCTCCTCTTGTGAAGCAATAAATTTCATTCCCAAGTATTATCAGAGTGAGACAAAGTTTATAGGGGAACATTCTTTCACCTCTAAGATTCCTAGCCCCTACTATTTGAGTGAACATTCAAGTGATTATTAGGAGAAAATATTAATTTATTTGCTCCACACCTTTGACATTATTCTTCACACATTCTTCAGAAGTATTTGGCCACATTCTTGAGCCATCTTTGATTACATAATCATCCTTTATTCTAGTTCTCTTTTAGACACAGGAAAAGTTCTGTGGGGAGAATTATATGTATTATTCATCAATTAGGGTAGACATAAATAAGACCTACAATCTGTCAACGAATATTAAGAGCTTGGCCACTTAAGACTACATCAAGAAGGTGTACTCTATTCTGGACTGCGTCATTACTCATTGTGAGATCCTGAGCAGCAGAGAGTTGGTTTTGAGGCCACGTATTGGGACGATCCCGCTAGTGAATTTGTTCTCCATTGCTGAGTATAAGTAAGAGATATCCAAGAGGGATATAAATTAAAGTTCAAGCTCATTGCATACAGCTGCAACATATTATTCTGAAGTTTATAGCACTACCTTGTGCTACTATTGTTTCTATCGTTCTTTGCCTCTTTTACATCACTAGCATTTGCTTGAAAAGGTCAACACATCTCGTCCCCCACGAACGACCACATTATCAACTGTTGGTAATTGTCTGAACCGTTGACCGTGGAGGATTGTGAAATTTGGTGATTTTCTTGCCTTTCACATCCTAGTAAGACACCGCGGCACAAAACCTCGCCTCCTCACTTGAAGAAACCATATCCGAAGTGGTCCCGTTATCCAAGCCCAACCCCCACTCAAAGAGGTGGTGGACACAAGAACTCACCCTCCTACGTAGACAGGTCAACAAAGCCTGCCACACCGCCTACAAAATGAGAGGCCTCCCCTTGCACCCCAGCCACCAAGAATTCAAGTGCCTATGAAACCACTACGCGGAAGAAATCTTCAAGTCAAAGAAGCAACACTGGGTGGAATGGCTAGAAGAAATATCAGGTAACAACATATGGACAGCTAACAAATACATCACCTCAGAACCCACCGACGGCAGCAAAACCAGGATCCCTACCCTCTCAATCCGCCAGCAAGACAGCTCTACACGCGAAGCCACCAGCAATGTCGAAAAGAGCATCACCTTAGCTGAATCCTTCTTCCCTCCAAGACCCAACCTATCTACCATTCCAGCAGACTTCGAATACCCCGACCCCATTGCATCCATGGTCCCCATTACATCCGACGAGATCAAACGAAACATCCAAAAACTAAGTCCCTACAAAGCCCCAGGACCCAACGGAATCTGTAATGTAGTCTTCAAACAATGTACTGACATACTAGTCCCATTCCTCCTCCCGATCTTCAACGCCTCCATCAACCTTCACACATACTACCAACCCTGGAGACAGTTCACGACAGTAGTATTACACAAACCTGGCAAGCCTGACTACTCAATCACCAAAGCATACAGACCTATCGCTCTCCTTAATACCACATGGAAATTACTAACAGCCGTTATCGCAGATCAAATGACCTACTACCTTGAACGCCATCAGCTACTACCACCAACACATTTCGGAGGACACCCCGGCCGATCAACCACTGACTCTCTTCATCTCCTCGAGGAAACCATCAAGAACACATGGTGAACCAAGAAAGTAGCTTCGGTCCTCTTCCTCGACATAGAAGGCGCCTTCCCAAATGCTGTAACAGACCGCCTACTCCACAGCATGAAAATATACCATCTCCCACTTGCCATGATTAACTTTACTCAGCAAGTTCTCACCGGATGACAAACCAGACTCCAATTCGACGACTTCAAATCTGACTGGTTCCCGGTCACCAACGGCATCGGCCAAGGAGCCCTCTATCAATGATACTATACATAATTTATAATGCTGACCTCATAGATGTAGCCAAGGGCCAAGGCAAGCAAGAATCCACCCTCGCCTTTGTAGACGACACCGCCTTCATCGCAAATGGCTCGACCTTCCATGAAACACACCGCATCCTCAAACACATGCTAGAATGAGAAGGAGGAGGGTATGACTGGTCTTGAATTCACAACTCCAAATTTGAAACGAGCAAATTTGCACTAATAGATTTTTCAATGAACAGAACGAAACCCAGACCCCCCATGATCATAAGAGGCTCTACCATCCGTCCTTCTCAAACTCACAAATTTCTAGGTGTCATACTCGATCAAGAACTCCGCTGGAAAGCCCATGTCTCATACGCCATCGCCAAAGGGACAGCATATGCACTTCAACTCCGCCATCTATCATCAACCGCCACAGGAATGCCAATGAAACTCACTTGACAACTCTATCAGGCGGTTGCCATACCAAAGATGCTATACACCGCAGATGTCTGGTTCACCCCAGCCTATCAACCCGGCTCAGATACCGCCCAAAGAGGCTCGCTCGGAGTAGTGAAGAAGATATCTACCATACACAGAATTGCAGCTATCACTATCACCAGTGCTATGAGAACCACCGCCACAGACATCCTTGAAGCCCACGCTAACTTATTACCCATTCCCCTCCTCCTACAGAACACATGCCATAGAGCCATCATCTGCTTAGCAGCTCACCGCCCTACCCACCCTCTCCATGCTCACATCTCATGCACCGCAAAATGTTATGTCGGCCACCACTGCACCTCCCTACACCGTCTCACTCGCTCATTCAGGATAGTACCACAAGAAATAGAAACCCTCACCGGAGCCACTCAACACCCAGCATACCGCAACCCGTATAAAGTCCACATAGCAGAAACCAAGGAGGACTCCATCAGAGAACAAGCTGAATTACCTGACACTATCCAGATATTCAGCGATGGCTCCAGACAAAATGGCAACATCGGAGCAGCAGCAGTTCTAATCCGTGATGGCCACCCACCCTGCATTCTATGTTTTCACCTGGGAACTGACAAAGAACACACAGTATACGAAGCAGAGGCGGTGGGCCTTACACTAGCAGCTCACCTACTGGCCACAGAAAGGCGCATACACTTCCCAACATCCATCCTAGCAGACAACCAGGCAGTCCTAAGATTTGGTGAGAGCACAATACCAAAAGCAGGACATTACCTGATTGAACACTTTAGACAAATGATGCAATCCTTCAAATGCACCAACCGAGGAAACAACCATGACGTTACAATCAGATGGATTGCCGCTCACAGCGATGTAGAGGGCAACGAACTCGCCGACAAAGAAGCTAAAAAGGCAGCAGAAGACCGACGGAATAGTAGCAGAGTCGAAGACCTACCGCAATACCTCTCAACAGGTCAGCTCCCCAACAGCCTATCAGCCATCAAACAGGCCCACAAGAAAACCACCGCCCTCAGATGGGAATGCCTGTGGCAGAAGTCACCCAGATACGCTCGCACAATGCAACTCGACCCTAACATTCTCTCTCGCTCATTCCTAAAGCTAACCGCTGACCTCCCTAAACACCTCATCAGTTTATATATGTGCTTCCGCACCCGCCATATCGCTCTCAACCACCACCTCCATCGCATCCAACGAAGTGACACTCCCTCATGCCCCATATGCCCTAACACAGACGAAACTATCCACCATTTCCTCTTCATATGCCCCCAGTATGACCGCAAACACTTCATACTTCAAAGAAAACTCGGCCACAAAGTGACATCCCTCCCATTTCTGCTAACGAACCCCATCGCCACGGAGCACTTCCTGAGATACGTGAACAGCTCAGGTAGAATGAAGAAAACCTTCAGTGAAGTGATGCTCCCCCCTCCAAAAGACAAATGATAACTCATGACTTGTAGAAACCTATAACCTGACGACACACAAGACCCCACACGACAACAACACCACTGTACCACCAACCATAATTTTATTCAATATTTATCCCACTCCCCACATGAAGACATGGGCCCGACCCCCAGTAGGCCAAAGGATATCAGGCGAGAGATGAAGATGGAGCTGGAGTAAGGAAGTAGAAACAGGCTGGATAATTGACAACGCTCCCACACCCTCTACACGACCACACTCCACTCAACAAACCCATCCTGCACCACTAACGCATTCCTTCATAGCTCCATGTGCTGACCGCCTCGGTGGTCGAGTACGCGCTACAGACAAAACCACATGACAAGAACAATACCATTACCATAAATAAGAAGAGACAAGTCAAACTCATCTTCGATGATCTGCGCACCTAACACGGCTGGCGGGAATGGCGGACCAATGGGGGTAACACCCACATTGGGGCATCTGCGAGATCAGAGGTGAAAATGGGGCAGGGGCCCCTGTAGACTAGACAGTATTGTCCAACATAGGGTATATTACCCCAATGGACAGAAATTGGAATCAAAAAAAAGAAAAGAAACAAAAGGCTAACAGAGGACATTATTGTCCAGACCGTGAAAACAGTCATGAAATTGGTCACGCATGAGTTATTCGGGGAGCAAGCGATGTCGAATGACAAAACCGCAAAGAAGGATATGTTGACCCAGGTGATCTGGGATTCGGTACCACGTTGTTTTGGGCCTAACAGTGAGTCTATACCTCAATTGTTAGGCATCAGTCTGACCCTCATTTTATTAGCTATGTTTGAAGATTTTATCCATAATAAACATCGTAGAGATGTAGCAAATGTGTTGTTGGTAATGCGTGGGAAGTTAGCTGAATTCGCCCATGAGGGCATTTTCAACAGGGTACCGACTTTTCCCTCCATGGCACAGTATCACGCCTCCCGTCACCTATTGCCAACGCATAATCCAAAAGATTACAACTGATGCTGACGGACTTGTTTTCATGCACATCTACACTTTTGACCAAGTGAGTTTCATTTTCATGTGTTGCCAGAGGCGACTCATTGTTTTTCAGAATGGGCAAGTCGATATCAAGGTGAAGTTCCAAAACCCTTTTGTCATGTCCAACACCATCCGTTTTGTTTTGTTTGGGTCCCACCAAGAATTTCTTGGCAACATGGAAGAGCAGCAAATCAAACATTTAAAAGTGATCTGGGCACTCGCCGGTGCTGCAACATTCTACAGTCTAGATGAACAGTCGGACGTTCACGTGAAATTTGATCATTTCAGTGGAACAGCGTACAGTTGCAAGTTTGACACCATTCTAGCTGTGATCAGAAACCTCACTGGGGACAAGCTAGCAGAATTTCATGATTTCCTACGGTATGTTACGAACTAGGATAGTTCAGACGTATGACTACTCGATAAGAGTAATCGGTCAAGGTCGGTTCAAGACTTCAGTGTATACCGAAGTTCGATGTGCTAAGACAAGACAAGGAGAGTGTCCTCGACTTGAATCAAGTTCTATACGACTTAAGATTGGGGGTCTTAAGCGAAGGAAGTTCCAGGTAAAACCTAGTAAGATTAAAGTAAAGAACTACATAGTACAGGACGAGTTTATATAGTGAACGGTAACGACTTTAGGGCCGGTACGATGAGATCATAAGATGAGTCAGAGATAAGACGAGACAAGTCAGAGATAAGACGAGACAAGTCAGAGATAACAAGAATAGAGATGAGTCAGAGATAACAAGAATAGAGACGAGTCAGAGAGAACAAGAATAGATCATCTAGCGACGGCAAGATGCGATCATGATGTAATACAATGATGTAAGGGGAGGAAAATGAATAGGGGCGTACTTGACTGTAACACGGTATGTGTTAGTAGTTGGACCAACACAGGCGCCCTCGTAAATACTACTACCCTTGCTATTGTACCACAACTTGGACCATTAAATACAGTTTGATAGTTTTGATTGTACTACTACTACTAAATACTAGTATGATAATGCATTTACCACACTGATAATCTCATGTCACATCGATAATCTTTAAATCTCGCATCCAAATGTGTGAAACTTGACTCAGGGTCCAAACATATCCAAAACCAGGTATTTACGAACTAAATTTTGAGCTAACCAAAACAGCGACTCTTGCAAGAGTTTTGAAGTACATTTCCACCAAGTTGGATTTTTAGATGCAAGTGAACAAAGTAACTTAAAGCGGAATTAAGTTTTAAATTTTCAAAGCAAGTACAGTGTACTACCGGTACCTTTCACACCAGATTCACACTTGTCGAGTTAAGGCCTGTACACCACCTTTTGAGACAATCTGAGTACCCAGTATGAATATTAGGCATCTAAATAGTACTACCAATGCAATGATTTATTTTTTTTTCGCGATGTTGAACACGCTCAATGATTTAAAATACACAGTGCTCGAATGTCACACAAATGCGGTACATTTCACAGTGTGACCAATGCATGTCATTGCGTGACCAACGATTCACACTCAATTGACACAATGCCTTCATCAGAGGACTCACTACTAGAACTATCACCTTCTTGCTCGTCAACACCATCAGCCACCAGCCCTGCACCATCTTCTTCATCACAATCTGCTTCAACTGTCTGCTGTGGTGCTCGCTTGGGCTTTAGTGGCCGTTTTGGTTTTCTTCGGCCAATCTTTCTTTCACACACCCTCTACATTCAAACGCTCGCACTCAACCTGCCAGTCCCTCACAGCTGCTGCATGTTTCTCCTTTATCTCATTCCACTGTGTCACCAGCTCTACACCCTCACCACATCTCACCTCTCTTGCTGCTTTTCTTTGTTTTCTTACTTCCACTTTTTCAGTGCGCTTCTCACGATCCTCCTTCAATTCATCGACGAACCGTTGCTCTGTCATATGATGCCTGTTCCCCTTCGGATACAGTTTGACTCGATCTGTGTCTTTCTTGTCACCTGTGTTGAGGGTCTTATTGAGTTTTCATAAGGTGAGATCTTGAATTATGATCTGTGCATTCTGCCCTGCATTGATTTGTTCACATGTAGCAAGTTGGTGTTTTGCGCGCCGCAGAGCCTCAAGGTCCAGGCAACAAGTTTTCCAGTGCTCGATATCTCCCATCTCGTCTCCTGATGGTTGGTTTGCAATCAACAAGCTCCAATCTGGCTCTGGCAGTACTGGTGGCTTCTCGAACACTGGTGCAGGGATTGACTGGCCTTTCGACATTCGTGTCTTTGATATGAGGAATGAAGATGATGTTTGCGAGAGTGAAGCTGTCATCAGGCGCATACGTTTCGAGGGGGTATCAATGATTTCACTGTCATAGCGATGACGGGATGGTGAATTTGGGGTATTTGGTTCTGTTGCAACTACTGAGCGTGGTGATTCGTGGCTTCCAGGGAATCGAGATGGTCCTGCAATAGGTTGAGTGTCTTTATGTGTGCTTGGGGATAATTCAAAAGATATTGGCTGATAATTTGTGAATGCAGCTAGGACTGCTCGTGTCGGGCTTGAGTAGGGCAGTGGAAATGTGCTACAAGTGGAACTCTCCTCGCTTGGCTTCATTTGATCAGCTGTGATGACATTTTGGTCAAATGGGCAGATACCAGTGACACGGAATGCTGTTTTGATAAGATCAGGAGTAAATGCACGGACAAATGCATGTCCAAAAGTGCCCGTAAAGTCTGCTTTCTTGATACCGCGTCGCTGACTTTCTTCGAATGCACTGACTTCTTCATTAAAGCTAGCTTTCATCCTCGCAAAGCACACAACATCAAGGCCCTGCAGGGCATGAGTACAGTGTGGTGGGTATCCGAGGATGATGATATTTTTGTCCATTGCAAATTCGAGGAGCTTGGGTGTGAAATGTGAGCTATGTCCATCCATGAGGAGCACATGGGCTCGTCCACTAGCTTTCTCTTTTGTTTGTGGATCAAAGTCGTTGATCATCCAATCCAGGCACAATTCACCATTGGTCCACCCATTGGGTGAATGACAGAGACTTGTCCGAAATTTAGTGAGCTGTAGGGCAGTTATCAATTGAGACTCACGAGGCATGGGCAACATTATTGTCCCCCCACTTCTGCATGAAGTTTTGACCTTTGAAGATGATTGTTGGGCGGAGAGCAGTGCCATTGGCACAGATCGTGATGATTCCTGTCACATTCTCCCAATCTGCAGATCCTGCAGTGTGCTGTAGCTTGGCTCCTCGTGCTCCAATACAGCGACGTGACTGAGTGTTTGTCAATGGAAAGCCACTCTCATCCATGCCATAGATGTCTTCAGGTCGGATGTTCTTGTTGACTATGTGCTCCTCAACTAATGAAAACCAGTGATTGACATTCGAAGGGTTTAAGGCCTTGGCTCGCTGAGTATCAAGGCCCTTTCCCCAGTGTGTCTGTAGCTTATCGTGGTGACGGTCAAGGAACCAAAAAACCCACTGCTGTCCAACTTTGTCCTTTGCAGGCTCAAAGCTCTCTCCTTTCCGCCTCTCGATAATCGTGTTGGCATAGTTCTCGATCTGTTCATGACTAAGGGGAAAGCCTCGTTTAGCTGACTCAAGTAGGAAGTGGACCATAATATGCTCCTCGGCAGCTAATATCTGTTGTTTTGAAGCCATGTACTCTGAGAGGGGCTGAGTTTTGCCTGTAGCATGATTGAGTATAGTCTTGTACTGCTTAGGAATACCAAACTCTTCTGCAATTGTCCGAACACCCTTTCTCTTCTCTCCTGTTGGCCGAGCTTGCTCAACACAATATGCATGGACTGCCTGTATTAATATATTGCTCTGTGTGCGTAGCTGCTTGATCCGCTTGACACGATCCGACAAGGCGCGAAATACCATTTGGAGTTGGTAAATTGATTTATGCGGTGATAGAAGTGGGGTGTGGGATGCTATAAAAATCGAAGCATAGATGCGCGACGCATCTTTGACACGAGCCATCACACATTGTCACGCATGAAACAAGTTTTGCACAGAATGCCTTTTGCAACACAGAATTTCAACCCAATCACTTCCTTCTGTAGAGATATTTTGTGCAGGATACATGGCTGATTAAAATGATACTACATATACAGGCAATTTTCGGCGAATTCTTTGCACTGGGCCTGGTACAAAAGTTGTTTCACAGCACAAATGTCCCATGTCTTCAACTGAATCTATCCCCAGCTTTTACACACTTCACATATCTCTTTGTAATTCTGCATTATGATTCTATACATGCTTCTTAATGCATGGCTCAAGTGGCAGGACAAAATAATAATAATTGACGAAGTTTTAGCACAAGTGTGAAATGTACCGGTGGTGTGAAAGGTACTGGTAGTACACTGTAATTTCAAGTGCAAAAAAGGAATGTGTGAATTTACTGATGTGATGTGGTGAATTTTTGATCTGATTTTGCCAACTCCAGTCTCCATCTATAAAAAGCATGTCCTTCCCAGACTCCAAACCATCGGCAGTGTGTTATGAGTCTACATCCGAGTGCCGCCACACAAACCAAATACGAACAACAAATAATTCAAACACCGCAACTTTGGACTCTAACACACTTGGCCAACTGGCACAAGTTGTAGTGGCGCAAACGTTGCAACTGTTTGTCCCTCCAAAAAAAACATTCCAAGTAGTCGCCAGTTCCCCAAGTGTGACACGGGAGTATTTAAATAAACATAATATAATTATTGAAATATGTTTATTATTATATAAATAAACTATTAGCAGGAATGGTGCGCAGAGAACATGAGGCATAGTAGTCAACGAGTTCGTGATAAAATGAGCGCTGTCATGCTTGAAATGCTGTTGTACCATGAGTCTTGCAAGCAGACTGTCAAAAGTGATACAGTGCCTACAAGATAATGGCCTGTCCACGTCAACCTTCATGAGTGGCATTCTCAAAAGCAGCCATGTCGAACACCAGGACGCAAAAATCTTGCTGAGATCTAACGCGAGTCAGATGTGCACACTGCTGAATGCTAATGAAGACTCACATTCATCTGTCCTCTCCTGGGCAATTGCCCTTGTACACACAGAATTGTGTCGAGAAGTCGCCAAACTCAGTCTCCAACAGCACTGGCCTTCATTTTCGAGCAACATCGGTGACTGTGGAACAACTCGAGACGCTACTCATCAATCAACTTGCAATGAAAATGAAAACTGTTGCCCCGCACCTTTGGAATTTAATGATGGCCCTTCTTGACAGCAGGGACAGCCACCGGCGCAAAATGCCAAGTCCCTCGGCTGTGGGGTCACATATGGCAGACGCTGTTGAACAACGAGAGATGGATTTGGGCGAATTCGGTGGAGATAGTATTGGGTCGATGGGGCCGGGCAATGATGACAGCGATGACAAAAGTGAAGAAGCCTTTGAGAGGCGCCCAAAAAAGCGCCAGCGACATGCTGCTGAAAGGAATGAGGCGCTACTTGTTATTGTAAGTCCCAAAGTGTAGCAGCAGGTACAGTACTGACAGTATTTATTAGAAGGCTGTAGTGGCAATCAGCATATGTTTGCAAAGCTTGAACGAAAAGTGCAACTACTTACAGGGTTGGATGGGATTCTTCATGAAGTCAACTTGTGTGCCGGAGAAAGTAGTCGAGGTTTTGGCTCATGCAGGTCTTTTGATCAGCCTGTCGTCGATCCATAATGCAGTAACGTCCGTCTCGAAAGAGATTAGCAGCAAAATCAGGAGTGAAGTACGCACACTTTGAGCAGCCTTCACATACGATAACTTTGACATTGCTTTCAAGACATCTCAACCTACCCTAGAGAACCAGTCCTCATTTGTGAGCGCCACATCTGCCACAGTTGTCCCGCTTTTTGGTATTGATGAGAGCAATGCCATTGCTTTGAAATGTTCTGCTCAATTATGGGCATCAGACCACAGGAATCCATTGCCGTCAGTCACACCGCTGATGAACGAGATGAGAGCCATGATGGACCTGCACAAAAAGGATACATACAGTCGCCAAATCAATCCAACAAAGCCCAGTCCACGAACTGCAGCGTTTGCCTGGCATGTGCGAGCAATTCTCATCAATCAGCATCAGAAGTTCAAACATTTCTTGAAGGACCTTGGCGAACAGGAGACCATAAAGAGGATACCTGTTCATACAACCTATCAGATCCCTTGTCGTGCAATGGATATCAAACAATCGACTACAGATGGCAACATTGAGGTCTTAGAGGACCTATTTCGACAGGGTGGGATTGGCGACAAGTGTGACAGCAGTTTCAATGCTGATCATGATGTTGACATGACGAACACGTCATTATTGTCCACGGTGACCTTTTGACAAAAGAAAGATTAGACACTGTCCGCAATAGCCAATGAATCGAGCACTTCAAACCAAAAAAACCACCTTCAATATGTCATCTTCTTGCCAGGGTTATTCCACTATAAAATGGTGTGCGCCGATGCCCTTTGGTGTACACATATCCAGCCGAAAGAAGGACATGATGATGAGAATAGCCTGTATCAGCACATAGGCATTCTACGGCCTGATGAAACGGGGAAGATTGTTAGCAAGCCAGGATTCAGGCGTGTACACGATGTCCTTCATCATGATGTCTGGGCCTCGATGCTTGATTGTTGGCGGATCGAGGCACAACACCAAAACGCGATGTATACAACACTGAAAAAATTTGCCGAATCAGAGCCAACCTGGGACGTCATTGTCATGATGTCACATACCATTGTGCAGAAATACGTGGCAACAACAGACGGCCTGGATACTGCATGGTCAAAACCAGTGGGACAACGAGATAAGCGGTTCGAAAACCAAACCTTGCGTAACCGAGACGAGCTGCTGTATATTGACCTGTGTCAGGCCATGAATACTGGAGACATTGGGAGGGTAGAGGTGTCCTTCCTCCCATGGATATACATTTTCAAAGCTACCGGAAAGCATAAGTACTCGTCACAGATATCCAGATTTCTGAACAACTTACAGTTTAACTGGCCGGAATCATTGAGGTACAAGTCGGTTTGATTGGATGTCAGTACACCTGCTAAGCTTGAGTCTTGACAGTGACATTATATGAATGAACTTACTGTGCAATCCAACTGGGAAGAGTGCAGCATTCCGCGCTGTTGACTGGCTTGTTGAACTGAAACAACCTGTACACCAAGGTGAGTAATCGCTAACCATTACCCGTTAAGCTGGCCCAAACGGCACTCTTGAGCACATTATAAAGGAATCTCTGCTCATTGAAGTATACCGTAGCTGTCATGTTACTATGGAGAACGTGTTTCACTTACAGTACCGAACCATTCGGCACTCAGCACCGGATATGACGAAGACAATAAAAAAACTATCTGGGCGTATGAAAGACAAGAATGTACATCTGTCAAAGGACAGCCGGAAGGCCCTGCGAGTAGTACTGGACCAGGTTTCAGCAGGAATGACACTGATGCAGGAACAACAGGTTATTAATGAAGAGGATAGTAGTAGTTTTGACATTGAGGCAGACGATTTCCTTGACTAACCTGTCAGGATAATGATGGACCAGCCACCGCTGGAGGATTGTTCTCAGTGTTTGCCTTCGCTTTTGATTGTTGTGGTCTGGGAACATATTTTGGACATAGTTTAGTTTGATGCTAGAAACTCTTCATGTCAGACACGGTCATCGAGCTGAATAAACACTTACCAATATGACCATAGTTCCCGCATGCACTACACTTCCTCAGTCGCTTCGCGGAAAGACCGTCTACAGAACCAGCAGCTTCAATCGGCTGTGGGTTTGGCGCAAGAGAATGTTGGTTTGTGATAGAGGAGGAACCAAGAACAGGGACAGATACCGAAGCCACTGGCTTGGGAGATGGTGGCTTGTGGTAACGGGATGCACATATTGATAATTTTGAGGATTTCAGGGCCTGTATAAATCTGTATAGCACCAATGCATCTGCTCAAAGAGGGCAGTTACAGTGACAATTTTCGAGTAGTGAGCAAGGTCAATGATTCGATCCAAGATTTTATTTGACATAATGATTTGAGGGCCGAAGAAGTCATCACCATCAAGATCCTCCTCAAGCACCTTAAAGCTTCTCCACTGGAGGAGCTCCCGGCGAAGATTGTGTCCCCCGGTTGTTATCTCGTATGGTTTGATAGTGAATTTGCGTTTTTGCCCGAGTGGATGGTAGTGGAAGTGATGGGAACAGACAAGATTGTAATGCTGCGGGGTTACAAATGTCACAGCAGTAACACAATGACTTAACACTGCATCTCGCACAACAAGGGCTGCTGGAACTGGCGTCCCTCACCGCCTGATCTTTATAACCAGGTAAGTCTATGATCTATTTGAACAATGCAGGCGCTCACCGATACTAGGATTGTTGAAATATTCATCTGCTACCCTTCGACGACACAAGCCACGAAGGTGAGCATTTATAAATGCATACATCAGCTGATTGCTCGACTGCGTCATTGTCAAGCCCACTTGGCAAAATCTTTGCTACAGCCCCAGCGAAGCCAGGAGGATCTCGTGGATGTGTGGACATCCCCAGCGATACTTCATGAGCTGGCATGCTCGCTGCCTCTGCAATATTGTCTCTCCCCATGTCCCCTTCAACATTTTCTTCTGTGTCACTGACAATACCACCATGGTCCTCTAGCTCACTATCCTCCCTGTCCAACCAGCTGCTGTTGGCCTTATTTGTCTCAGAGTGCTTTGCCCTCTTCCTAGTAGGAACACTTATGTGTCCCTGTGGCGAGGGGCGCTTCCGCTTTCCACAGTAAGTATCAAAATACATTGGCTCGACAAAGTATACTGCAAGTGCTGTTAGTAACGGGTCTCGCGCTGCACGTCCAAGTCTCTGCATTAATGTGCATAGCGATGGCGTATATCCCCATTGAATGACGAGAGTGATATCACGCAAGTCAAGACCCTGAATACTGTGAGCTTGAGTACCAATCAGTCCACAAACAACAACTCACCATTCCTGCAGCGTCCGTACAGCAGACACCCCAATGTCCCCTCTACGAAGCTTATCCATTGCATCAACGTGAAAATCCATAGACATGCCGGAGTGAAACCAAACGACCTTATCTCGTGATCGCGGTGGCATATGCAGATGGATGCAGCTACAAGCACTCTCAGCTTTGTCGCGTGAGTTGGTAAAGAGCATGAATTTTTCATGTGGCGTGTTCCCATTGAAAGAGAATATCCGGGTAAGATCATGCATGGAGCTGCTGGGAATATTTCATCTCCTCCACCATGAGGTGAATGTTGGGACGGTCATTAGAGCGTATAATCTTTGTAGTATTGTATGATCGAATATGAAGTTTTGACTGAACATCATGGAGGATGTGTGGTGGCATTGTCGCTGACACTGTATGAAAAGAGACATGGTCTGGAAGGAACCATCGAAGGTTCCCCAATTCACTATACAAAGGTTGAAAATCTTTGCCCCATTCACTAATACAATGGCCTTCGTCAAATGTAACATTGAAAAGAACATTCGTAAACCTTTTGGACTTCCATAAATTCTTAAATTCGTGTGTCCCCAAGTACTCGCTCTGGACTGACCGTAATGACACGGTACTTGAGCTTTACAATGTCCTATTGTGTATAACAAGCATTAGCACAGCTAGATACAAACGACATGCACCCACATTGAAAGCTTCATCAGTAGAATCTTCTGCAGAAAGGTTGTAGGCTGAGAAGCCCAGCGTTTTTGCTTCATTGTGAGTTTTCTCACCAAGAATATTCAGAGGTGTCACTATGAGGATAATTCCATTGCCATTGAATAAAAGGGGGATCCAGAACGTGAACATTTTGCCTGAGCCAGTCGGAGAAATAGTAAAGACATTCTTCTTCTCAAGCTGATGCAAAGCCGACTGAAGTTGCCAAGTACAGGGGGTGATACCAAATTTATTGCGAACAATCATCTTCATATCGGTAAAACTGGGTACTTTGAATTGGTGGGCCAACATCGTAATAATGGCAAGCACTCGAGGCTAACTCAAAAAATCAAAATGGGTTATCTGTTATGTCACACTAGGTCACACTATTAACTAATACACTGGCGACTACTTGGAATGTTTTTTTTGGAGGGACAAACAGTTGCAACGTTTGCGCCACTACAACTTGTGCCAGTCGGCCAAGTGTGTTAGAGTCCAAAGTTGCGGTGTTTGAATTATTTGTTGTTCGTATTTGGTTTGTGTGGCGGCACTCGGATGTAGACTCATAACACACTGCCGATGGTTTGGAGTCTGGTCCTTCCCGAATCTGTGATGCATCCATGGGAAGGTGCTACTTTTTTTATTAGTGCTGCAATCAGCCTCATCGACTAGGCTGGCATGGAAGATGAGTTGAGTTTGGCGATTGCAGGTCGCTGTCAAAGCCATCCTTGCGCAAATACTGTCCATGCTGCTCACCCTCATTCACCAACCATCACTCCTACCCTATCGACTATTTGTATCAACTTGCATACCGATCTTTAATTCAGCATAATTGCTTTGTTGCATGTACTGTCCGCGTGATGTGAGACACCGAGAGATTCACGCCAATGCTCTTTCGACTGAATAGCTCCCCACGAAACCGCCGATGGGGTAAACCCAGAGGCCCAGCGCAACCTACTCAACCTCATCTTAATTCGAGTCGGTGATTTCCCTTGAACCTCAAGTCGAGCATGTAAATTCGTTCATCTGGCTGTTTCTACTTCGAACGCAAACGGGACATAAGTACTTCAATGTCATTGACGGCCCTTGAACATCTTCTTAGGATTCTGTGGGTTTATCTGTCAGTCATGGATTGTGTACAAGAACGCTACCCCTCACAATGCGACATTTCCCAACAATCTCCCCTGCCTTGGATAGTACCTTCTCTCGCTGGACCGACAAGAAGATCTGTGGAGTCAACTTTGGTGGGATGATCGGATCTTTATGATGAGTGGGAGCATACATTCTCGTCGCCTATGAAGTTGCGAATTCTCTTGTGTGCTTCCTTTCGACTCTCAGACACGTGGTAGTGACTGAAAGCCTCAATGACGTCCTTCTCACTGGCGGTTTTGCCGTCCTTGCGGCGGACCAACCAATAAAGACTTTCCATCCCTAGGGTCAAGTCTAGCATATTTCAGATTATACTTCTAGTCGATGAACGTAGTATCACCTACCGATGATATACGCCATCAAGACCCGTGCGGCAGAAGGCGCGGTATCTGCCATGTCATCCAGAATCTGCACTGCATTGTTTACAGCAGGGGCGATAAGAGTGGCTGGGTTAAAACAAGCCCCAGCTATGCTTGCGATAATCTGCGCAGAGTTGCCATCCGAGGCAGCGGCGGCACCATCCAATGTCGGGAGTATCAGAGGTTCCACGAAAAGTCGACGGATCATGGTTCGCATGTTTGCTCCAAGCAAAATCTACGATTGTGAGGAAAACTTCAGAAGTCGGCAGGGATTGAGATACGCTACTCACCTCGTCGGGGTCCTGGAGAAGTTCATTATATGGGTCATGCGACATTCCTCGCAGAACGTAAAGAACAGTGGATACTGACCTGAAGATTCCATACTCGGACGATGTCGGAATGTATGACGCTGAGCACCTTCAACAGAGAGACCTTTCGAATCCCTTTCAAAGGTAACGCAGATGCGAACATCCCCGTCCTGTACACTGAATCGGGAGAAATCAGATTTGATATTTACTTGATATTTCGGAAGGAAAGTCCTCACTGTTCTTTCCTGCCCTGCAACGAAGCTTCGACGTAAGCCTCAGTGGTTCGGAATGTAATGCACAGATACTAACCGCAAGGATAGATTCACTTTGTAATTCACATCGGGCTGATCAGACAGTTCATTTCCCTGCGCCAGCGTCAGATGCAGACAATACGTACCATCTGCGCCTGAGAAAACAGAACATCTAGTGTCTCTGAGCTATCAAGCAGCGACTTGGTCAGCTCGATCAGCGTTATGATTGTCTGAGACTCTAACAAACGACGAGTCTCAGACAAGCAGGATTTCACAGTAGCTGGAATACGTACGTTTCATTGAAACAGCACAATAATGCGACCACGCCTGTGGAATCTTGGGCGATTGAAGTACGTCAACGCATGAGCTTTGATATTTCTTTGCGGCAGCAGCAACATATTGTTCTTTAGCATTGCGCATGGCTTTGCTATTCTGGCCATTGGAGGTATATTCCTTCTGCAACCTCATACGTTCACTAAACTGAAGCTTGTCCAGTTTAGTAAAAACCACAATGAGCGGAACTAGGCTCATAAGTAAAATTGTTAGATACGAGAGTATATTATTGCAGACACTTACCTGAGCTTGATTTCAAGTATTCCATAAGTACCAAGTCACCACCTTCGAATAGACGCTCCCCTCCGAGAGGAATTTCGACACAGTACCTTGGCCAACCATGAGTGATCGATCAAAGTACAGAGCAGTTCATCAAAGATACCATATGGCATGGAGTTGATCTGTGACTGGTCCATTCTTGCGATCGTTAAGGAACCTTTTGACGATGTTTAAATTCTTATCTGAGCCAGATTCCAGACCCTTGCTATCGTGGAGAATGAGCGACCTGTTTGCTGACGAGAGAATCGGGCGGTTTATATCGTGGTTGCCAACCTATACGTCATGATCATCATCTGAACAACTGCCAACATCGATTTTGAAAGCGATTGCGCACGGAATAGTCACTGGTGGTGCTTCCTTCGTATTCGAAATCGAACACTTCGTTCACTAGTGTCGACTTTCCAGATCCTGATTTACCGATGAGTAGGATCCTGAAGGCATTGCATTCCCTCGTAAGGTCGTCGAAGTATGAAGTTTCGTCTTCAACATCGTGATCGGCCAGCATGATGGTCGCGAGATTAGGGCGCAAGGGTATCTGGCGCTTAGGCCATGAGGCCACCTTGATGAATTCTAAGTATATATGTAGCCTACGTAGGCACCGACTCAATTGGTGATAGCTGTACTAAGCTCGGTTCGAATGGTGAGGTACGCAAAGCTTGAAAAGCTTCGTGCGTAGTTGGCTTGTTCATTGATGTAGCTACGTCGTTAACGGGAGGAACTGTCACTAGAGACGATTGTTCAGAAAGTCAGGGATTTGGACTTTCTCAGTCTTTCTGGGGCCAAGCGGAGTCTGGAGCCCATCGGCAAGTCCGGCAGAGTTCAACTGAGTTTAAACATCGCTTGATGACAAAGCACAACTTTGTAAAACGCTCAAGCACCTACTTACCGTCTACATAGACCTCCACCTCCGCCAGTCTGAGCAGCCTCGTCCTCGTTTGTACTCCGCTAACGGAGCAACAGAATGAATGGCCAGTAACACGCATGATCCATGCTAACCAACCACGATCAGACGCACCATATCGCTCTTCATCAAAACTGAAGCCATCCCTCTTGAGTTGTTTTCCTCGATTATCGCTTTAACAGCCGAATGATGGTAACTTGCAAGATATTTCAGTCAATTCGACATCGCTGAGGTACTGCAACTGAGTACTTAAATACTTACCGTCCAACATGGTTAGTATAACAAAATGCGCCTATGTTGCCACTCGGAAAATGGTAGCACCTGAAAATTTTAAATACAGTTACTGTTGACCATCGGAGGACCCGATAATTCATGGTACGAACTTACAGCTGTTGCAATTATTACATCGAATCAACAAGCATGTTGAAAATCTCACTCACCCCTACATCGGGGTGAATTAGTCACGAATGATAAGTTACGACCAGTTCACTGTACTCACTGCATCTGTTAAGAAGACTGAAGGAAGACTTGCTGGATGTTGCCCATCAGAAGCAAAAAATACAGAGGAAGTGAGGAGGCAGACCTAACACGTTCACACTGATCGTGAGAGATGCTTATTAGCAGTGTCGATTGGGTAGCCTCGCGAAACGTACATAGCGGTCAGTATTCCACAGTAGCGCACCCGGAATATCAATACAGCTTGCTTACTGCCCATATAATATAAGCTACGTACACTGAGATATAGAATAGTCATATGGGACCAGCGTTTCATCTGCCCCGAGTCAACTGACTTAGCTTGTTGATCTGCTGGTATGGGATTCTGCTCACCCAGATCAGTTCAATCTATAGAACCGATCATGGTGAGCTAGTGACTGCCACAGTGACAAGCATCGATCTACCTCTTCTCCCAATGTGAGTACTGGAGATACCACAGGGTTATCAGTAACTCCTTCGATATGCACTATCTCGCTTACCCCAATCGTATGATATCACAACAGAGGCTCCAACTGAGAAGCCCCAGTCATGGTTAGATTGAGACAACAACAACATCACTTGCTCTCTACGAACCTACAAAATAGCTGAAAAGGATAGACCAATTTATTTGCGGCCACCAACTGGGATCATTCGAGACTACGGTCATAATGCAGGAAATTGTAGTCTCCCCTAGCCCTAGCTTTGTAGACGAAGGAAGGTCGTTCCTTTGAATAAAGAGGGAATCAGTGAAAGCGAACTTGATGGATGCACAACGATATTTTATTCGTGCTAGATATAGCACCGCGCTTCAGCATGTTTTGACATTTCGAAGCTGTTCGCGTGAGCCCATTGCCAAAAACATTCACAAGAAAACCCTGCCATGGTTTATCAAGGAACCATAATGGCGGAGCATCAGTTGGTTGTTGAACACGCCTATCAGATCATGAGTGACCATCGAAAAAAGGCACAACCTTCCAAGAGGGTCTGTACCTCCTAGCGCCTTGCTCGTCGGGTCCCGTGGAGCATAGTAGCTCATCCAAGGTCCTTGTCAGCAACGACCACTTCTTCAAGCTTGGCTTCAACTGACAGGGCATCTGTCAACCCTGCAAAGACATAGTGCGATGCCCCGTCGTGGAAAACCCACTACGCTCAATCCACGTATCGGTGATAATCCATCATGCAATTGATGGCATCGCGCGTGACCTAGCTAGCGCTTATCGGCGGCCCGAAGCAAAAAAAACCATCAGCCAAGTAAAGGAACCATCAGCCAAACAAAAGAAACGTCACTCTGTATGCCACTGCCACTGCATTGACGGATGAAATTAGATAAAATCATCGCTAACGCAATATCAGTGTTGCCCGTAGAATGTTTGAATACCGAGGCTCTACAAAGCTGTGAACATGTTGGCATTTTTGAAACTTGTGAACATCATTTTTTCGGCACTGGTATCATCAAGTGAACCATGTGGTCTAGTCGTCCAACCTATCCCCATCGAAGAAACCTAAAATCCTGCCGTTTCATCTTAATAATACTCGACGAGCATCTGTACCCTCTCCGCCTCACTCATCGGGGAGTGTAAAAGTCCATCCAATGTCTGATAACAACAATAAATCAGCAACGCGAACATGATACGGCAGAATAGTTAAAAAATATATCGAGCAATCAAACGACTCACCTCCCCTGCTGATAAGAATCCGTCTACAAGGCCTCCAAGAATGCCCTTCAATGCCTCATCTGCCACCAGCGCCGCCCTTGCCTCCTCCCAAGACATCGGCATCCGCCGCGTAACGCCCACTGCATCCCTTTCTGCCTCAGTCATCAGCGCAGGGGGCGTAGCACAATCTTGCTCTGAGAGCGGTAATTGAGATTGGATACCAAGGAGCCCAGAGCCGATGAGACTGGCAAGAACGAGGTAAGGGGAAGACGTGCCGTCTACACATTTTAACTCGAAGTGGTTCTTCGAGGGAGCGTTGGTCGCGAGCTTTGGATCTACAGACGCAGCAGGAACACATAAGCGTACGGGCACCTCACGGTTATCCCTTCCCCATGCGACCCATGTCCCGCCGCTCCAAATGCCATCGAGCATGCGTGCATAGGAGGCACGTAAGGGGAGCGTGAATGCACAGGAAGCTTGGAGATGTCTGAGTACACCAGCTAGGAAGACGCTTTCGAGAGGGGTGATAAGATTGTCTGATGTGCCTGCTGGCGATTGGCTCAGATTTTGAAGTTCGGATGGATGCTTAGAATCGATGGGGTGCACGGAGATGTGAGTGTGAGCCGCACTACCACCTGTATGAGAGTGTGAATCAGAGAAGGTAAACTTAGGGTGTGAATATATTGGTAGAAGACAGTGAATCATTGACTACGGCCCGGAATAACACGTACAGTTATCCGCATGTAACCTTGGCGCAAACGTCGCACGAAACCCGTGTTTGCTTGCAACGTTGGTGATCGTTTCCCGTGTGTGCACGAGCGCATCAGCAGCTTCAAGAGGTGGGAGTGGACCCGTCACAATCTCGTACTATGTTGCAGTACAAAATCAGCATACGGAAAAGACCAACACAAAATGGGGTGCACCAACCTGCCCTGGCGCCGCTTCAGAATGATACATCATCAATTCAATTCCGTCATCGATGAGTCCACGTGCGATCTCCTCGATCACTTCTGTCTCCTTGGTTCCAGAAGGTAGCGCTCGCGCGCTGTTCCATCCGTGTGGATTGACCGCGTCGATCGGGTTCGTACTCTTGAGGAGAATGAATTCGGTCTCAAACCCAACAAGGAAGGCGGCATTGTAAGATTTGGCAGTACTGAATGCCTAAGTGAGTCCACATTCAACGGGTGTCGGAAAGGACGCACTCGACGATACGATTCAATGTTGATCGCGGACACATGGGTACACCCGCACCAAGGATGCGGCCTGGAGTAGGGACCTTATCCTGGAACCAGCCCATGATACTTACATGTCCCGGCGCGTATGAACACAACCTCATGGATGACAAGTCCACCACAAACAGGTACTCCCCTACAGGCCCAAATCCAGATGCGGCCCTGTTAATTACGAAGCCGAAGATACATTGGGTGATGGTTATACCCGGTCTGGAGGAGGCGAGGAGGCGCTGGAAGGATTTGAGAGGAACAACACGGAAGCCAGTTGCGTTGACTAAATCAACCCAGGTGATGCGCACGGAGTGAATGTTGAAATTTCTGAAATATGCCGCTTGGGATTCGATCGGAATGGTGTGAGCTTTGATTGTCTGAGGTGAGTAAGGTGCATATTGAGGCGAGTTCGACATCACTGCAGATTACAAGAGCGATCTAGCAACCAATTTCAATTACTATGCCTCGAGCGTTAATTATAAAGGCTGAATCTGGCCTAGTAGTCTTCCTTGTACTTAAACGAGTGCATGCCGTTATCATGGACGTACCAAATTGGTCATTTCCTGCGACAACATTGCCAACGAGTGGCTGCTCCTTACTCAAACACTACCAAAAACTCAGGGACATATTGAGATCCAGGAGCTGTAGTGACAAAGTTCCCACAGCCAAAAAATGCAGTGGTGCGCCCAAGGTGGGCCTATCGGTGATGCATCACTGTATCCCTGCAAATGCAGCAAAAGCTTGTAATCAATGACAAGGATGCCTGCGGAACAGTTTGCGGTGCACTGTTCAACGTTAACGTTCAACTCTGATGAACCGTAGTGCTGGATTCGGGGCTGTGACTCGCCGTATTAAACGGCATGCAGATGAAAGTTAGCACATCAGGAATACTTTCATCTTCGCCATGTCAGCTACGACTGTAGGTTATCAGACAGCGCAGGTGAATCCATCGCTTTTCAGCCCGTAGTACAAATGCTCATGTTTCAATACCTTTGCACATTCATATTATTTCACAGGTATGCGCTTCACTACTACTAGCACCCACGTTGTCTGTCTGACGATGGAGATAGTTGGAGCGATGGCAGCAGTGGTAAGTGTCTGAACGACCATCCCTAATGCCCTCCTCATCTTCGAACCTAGATCTTCGACTACTGCTTGACGATTCCCCAAGAGGTTTGTGACCTTGTTTGGTTTGACTCCGATGCACGTTAAGTTAGCCCGCAGGTCCAGTTGATCTGGGGAAGGAAGTGGGACGTTGTTAGAGTTACGTATACCCTCGCTCGTCATGTCACCTTGATGGGTACTGCCATGACCACGTACGGTAAGTCGCGGAGTCTTTGCTTCATGTATCGCGCCTTGATGAGATTTAAGCTGCGGTGACTAATCGGTCCAACGACACAAGTGTTTGTGAACTTGTGATTTGAATTAGACTCTCACTGACTGTTCCTTTAGTGTGTGACTTTCAATAATGTCTCATACGGTAAGCAGCACTAGGACAGACTCGAGTTCAACGTGGATATTGAACACTCATGAAGGTTTACATATGACAAGCATCATCGCTGCAGAAGGTCGGCCTGATGGCGCTTTCATCGTTTTGAACCAATACTTATCATCTACTCTGCAGGCCTGCTTATTTTTCGCACATATGCCTTTTGGCATGAGAACAAGAAATTGCTGAAGTGGCTTCTCGTTCTTGCTGCAGTAAGTACCAACTTGATGATCCACCGATCAAACTCAAATTTTCATTTGGACAGTTTTCAATTCTAGGGGCTGTTGGAGTGTCAAAAGTTGTGAACACCTTCCTTCTCACTAACCCTCCAGGTATCCGTGCTTTATGATATCGACTCGGAGTGAGCACTTGTGCTAACCTGCTGTAGGGACCGACCCGACAGGCTGCGTGTTTGGAAGTGGAAAGGGTAGCTCCATACAGTATGGTTTTTTGATCAATTATGAGCTAGGTAACTCAAGTTGATGCTATTAATACTGGAGCTGTTAGCTTGAGATGTTACAGTGCTCATGATCCTTACGATATATAAGAGATTCAGCTTCTACAAACATGTTCGAACTCCCCTCGTCACTACAGTTTATCGCGATGGGATAATATACATGACCTGCATCATAAGTACGTCCTCTTGTTTATGAACTCATACAGGTCTAACAAAAGTCATTCAGTGGTATCCTTCACAAATATTGTTGTCGCCCTGGTTGTTCCTGTGAGGTTTTAGGCATTTGGATCCACAGGACTTACTAAAATGCTCAACCTGTTGAGCACATACACTAACATCCTGGATGCGTCAGTGCATTCCTTCATCTTACAGGTTCTCTTGCTGACTTCTCTCAGACCACAACTTGTGATCCACGGAGTGCTAGCCTCCCGTATCTTATTCAATCTGCGGCAAAGCCCTCAGTCTGATTCTATGATCATTGACGGAATGTTCCCACTTGCGGACACGTGTCAAACCCCTGAAGGCCATGATAGTATCGCATTTGTCAATACAAACCCAGGGACCGTAGAAGGGTAGTTTTGCATATTCGGCAAGGATCCCCAGCCCCCACAATTGTATCCATCCACACCTCTTCTTAAGTTATTTTTGCTGGTTCTACGTGCATGGATGAAGTTTACCTTCTCAAATCGTACTGAGGTTTAGCGTCACATTCCCGCACTCGTATTAATATTCTCATTCAATTCTTCGCTCACATAACAGTATCTCGCACAAACAACGGAGAAATAAGTATGAGGCACAGCGTCAGCACTGCTGTATACTAGGTTGAGTGGTGAGGCTATGGAGAGCCACTATACACGAGGCTTGTGCATCATGCTGTATCCTGCATAGCCGCCCAACACAATAGACCTGGTACTGTTTTGCCTGTATTCCCTCTTACCTAGTACTATCCTCTGACGAAATGCTCCCTCCGCAGCGGGTCAAGGATTATGTCAAGGGTTTTGTCACGGATTTGGGCGAGATCATTGCAGTTCGTTTGAGGCGCCCCAAAAGAACGAACCCAGACAACGCAGCTCGACAACCACCGATCATGACGGCGATGACTCCATCCATGTACAAATCCCTAGCGCCTTTTCCTTTCCATCACCAACTCTCTCTGCGAATTCATCGCTAGTACACTCTGCGAGCAGCAGAGAACCAGGTCTCGAATCCTCCCCCAATGTTCCATCCGCTAGACACTCCGGGGGTATAACCCTTGCCCGCGAAGCTTCTGACATGGCCCAGCTAGCATTGCCATTGGTGCAGGCTGTTGCAAGTGCAATTCCACTTGTCGGTGCTCCGATGCAAGCAGCTATCGGTGGATTATTGACAGGCCTTCAAGCTATAGATGTGAGAGCTTGTATGATTGCGAGCACGTTTCTTGATTTCAAAGGTCGCTACAGAGACGTAACCAGAATCAGGCGGACCTCAATGGCATGATCTTACGACTCGATCGACTGAGCCGCGAATTGTGCAACGCCTTGCCTGCCTCAGATCCTGTTGAACAGTCCAGAAGAGATTCCTTTGTTAGGTATCCACGCTATCGGTGTATGCTTGGATTCACCTGACATTGAGTCACACTCAGAATACTGCAAGACACCTCAGCCCGAGTGACAACGTTGCGTGAACGTTGTCTTGCATCCACATCCGTTACACAAGCTATCGCTGGATGCTTTGTTGAAATCGACCGCTATTGGCGGAGTATTTGGTTGTGTTCTATTCTGGAACGAATGTCTGCATCCACTCACTGTTCTGTTTGGTTAGTGGTCGTCCCAAATGCAAAGTCAACGTGAAGTACACGAAATGTTTGTGATTCTGCAGAGGGAGCAGGAGGATCGTCAGAAATTCCTGATGACGATCGAAAGTCTGGTCACCCGCGGACAAGTTCGCGGTCCAGATGCCATGCGCGTTATGTGCTCGTGGAATTGCTGCAACATGACGCTGAAAAAGGAGAGCATCACAAGACATGTGAAAGCGTTGCATATGTCCATCATATATCCTTGCGAGACCTGCAACCAGCAATTCACGCACTCGTACAACCTCGTTGTTCACAAGAGAAATTGTGCGGGTCCGCAGCAGTAAATGTCAGGGTCACAAATTTCTCTTGCGTATGACCGATGCTGATTGTGCGATTTCAGGTGTTGCTTCGGTGTTTCGATCTAGGTAGATTCCGGTGTTTGCTCTTATTTTACCTGTGGTGTCTTGAGTTCAGTTGAATCTTTTGGAGTTGCACATGATGCCTGCCAAGTTTCAACGGTCTGGCAAAATGGCAAATTTTGTTATTTCTCTAGCTGTAGTCCGGGGCACTCGGGTACCGTTTTATATACCTACCCATAAATGTCGACATGTAGACTGGAACCCGCAATTTGTCCTTGATTGATCATGATGGTGTAAAATAAATTGAAGGGGACTAGTCTGTCGGTTGATGTTCGTGAGCAGTGGCACAGTTGAGTTGAGCGGCAGGCCTCATAATCAGTCTTGAGACGCGACGCGACGGTGACGCACTGAAGGACAATTTGTAATGATGTGCTTTTGCAAAAAATTGAGTTAGTCTCTAGATCATAGAAAAATGAAAACAATCGTTCCTTCCATCTTTGCGACCGTCGCGACCATTCGCCTGACACTGAGGCAGTAAAACTTACTCCGAGCTCCCCTCGATCACCACATACTTCATACCCCCAAATAAAAAAGTCATGACTGTCATTAAAACTGAGAGCGCATAGAAAGGCAGACATGAATAAAATACGTATATACTTCAAGTAAAAAGAACGCATAAACAACGACAAGAACGCAGCCCAAACAATTCAATACAAGCGTGACAGAAGAAAGAAAAGAAGAAAAAAAAGGATAAAATAATTGTAATGCGATGCGATGCGTGAATGCGTGCATGAACGGGTGGTATGGGGTTGGGTTGGGGTGATATGCCATAGCGAAGGATATTGAAGTATGAAGTTGAAAAAATGAGTGCGATGCGTCAAAGAGAGCGAGGGACAGACAGACAAACAGACAAACAGATGAGACACCCGAACCGTCCGATGCATGCACATTCCACACCAGAATACCTGATACTCGATACGTTTTATCCATTGCAAATAGCACATTGGGAAACGGGAGCGGGAATAGAAAAATACGCACTCCTCACCCCCTCAATACTTGCTTATTCTGGTTTCATGCGATATAGCACGGCAGCAGCCGCGACGCTCAAGACAAGGACGCCAACGGCAGCTGTTATCGTTGTTGATGCCGAATGCAGCTGTGCGCAAGGTGTTAGCACCAGTGGTTGAATGCGTGTGGAAACAAAAATACTTACTCGTTGAGCTTCCGTTTGCGTCTGCATCTGTAATTGCGGTTTTTTCTCCACAGTATCCGTACCCCCGGCATCAGTGATAGATGATTCTGGGGTTAGAGGTTGCACGCCCTCGTGCTTCTCCAACTCACCCTCTCCCTCAGGTTCGCTCCCCGCAATCGACGGTCCAGGCGAAGGAGATCGTGATCGACCTGCATCATTCCCGTTCACAATCCCATTTCCACTCTTGTGCGCATCATCGTCCAACTCGATGGAAGACACAGATGGAGATCTCGAACGTCTTCGTCTTCGCGCTTTCCCCCGACCAGGATTAGAAGCGACGCTCACAGGACTCGGAGGCGTCACCAGTCCTCCACCTATAGGGTTCGTCCCGTTCGTGGTGTGCAGCTTGAGATCACCGTTTTGAAGTCTTGCGTGTGTTTGCGCTTGTACATGCGAAGCAACGACAGTCGATACCCGTGCGTCTAGTCCATTTTCTAGCCCCTCAAAGGCCCGGCGTAGCCGTTCGCGCTCTGCGCCCCATTCTTCTTGCACTGTGCTCCATTGCCCTTCTACGCCCTTCTTCCACTCTGCCATCAGCGCAGTCAACCCTTCTGCAGGATCTGATTGCTGTTGTTTCTGTGCGCGAAGCTGGGCTTCTACCGCGTTTTCTACGGCCTTAGCGAGTTGAGCCTCCACAGCTGCAGCGATCTGCGTCTCGAGCTGCCGGTCTGCAACCAATGCCTCCAGCGCAGTGATCTTGTCCTGCAACACAGTGATCGTGTCTTGAGCGGCAGCATGTTGCGCAGCTAGGGAATGATTGACTTCCACAGCGCTATCTATGCGTCCACTGAGAGCTAGTAGTCGTGCTGAGAGCTCGTCTAGTGCAGGGTGCGATGGCTGTGGCGAAGGAGACCGTGGCCGTGATCGTGATGTCGAAGGTTCAGCGTTTAATGCACGGGCATGCACAAGCTCGTCCTCGTCCATTCCCATCCCCGATGGCTCCGGCGTCCGTGGCCTACCCAGCTCCTCCCTCCTCCGTGCACGCTCCCGATCCTCCTCACTTTCATCCTGCTCTTCGCTCTCGTCCTCTTCTTCGACGCGCTCCAACTCATTGCGGGGTGATCGTACGAATGCTAGATGCTTCATCATCGTCTTGTGCATGGCGACCGCGCTCCAAGTCTACGTTCATGCCATTGTCGTGCTGGGAGCGTGCGGATGAAGCGTGGATGAGGTCGCGGAGAGCTGCAACCTCGGCCTTGATGGCCTCGTGCTCTGCAAGCATGTCCTCGAGTGCGCGGACCTTGTTGACATGGCTTGCGAGGCTGGCTTGGGTCTCGTGTAGCTCTGTGCGCAATTCAGAAAGGGCAGGGTGTTCCGGGGGAGGCGCAGGAGGTTCTGGATTTGCGGGCGCGGCAGGCGCGGGTACGGGTGCAGAGTTTGTCGATGTTTGTTGTGAACGCACGGGAGGGAGTGATTGAGGGAAGTGCGGTAGGTTTTGGGGCTGAGATAATGGAGATAGTCAGTATGTAAGGATATAGAGAGTAACGGAAGACGGACCACGGAGCCACCGAGCGTGTCGTGAATATCATTCATTGCAGTGCTTAGGGAATGCAGTTCTGCGCCAGTCTCGCGACTCTTCTGGAGTTCGCCCTGAAGCCTACTTAATATGTGGTCAAAGGTTAGGCCATTTTTGCCTGGTGGTCGCATACTGCCGCCCATACCACCGAGTTGACTCTGAAGGGCAGGGCGGCGCTGCGGATGTGCAAAGCTAAAGTTATTATTACTTCCAGATGATGAAGTGGCGGGAGGAAGGACAGAGGGGATATTGGGAGGAAGAGAGACGGATGATGGGATGGCCTCTACGCGGGCAGCGAGGTGCGCATCTTCATCTGTGAAAACACACATGACACGGGCGGCGACTTTGTGGTGGATTGTGGTCTTGTTGTCTTCACCAATGATGTCGATACCGAATTCCTGTCAAGGGGTTGGGTGGGTCAGACGGGGAAAAGTGAGGAGAAACATACCACGATATCATCGTTTTTGAGCTCAAACGGCTCGGACTCTACTCCTTCTGGGCTGAGTCGCTCGCCGTTGATGAAAGTGCCGTTAGAACTT